ATATTTTAGTTTGCCTATAAGGATAAAACAACTAGATAGGTAGAGAGAGAAAGAGAGAGATGTATAGTACTACCTCGGTGTTTAATATAAAAGCTAATAGTACTACCTCGGTCTTTAATATAAAAGCTAATTAACTAATTTGAGTAGATTAAGGGAGTTTGTTAAATTAGTTATTTATAATAAGTAGTTGTCATCTTTCCTAAAATACTCTTACTAATAAAATATATTAGTTTTAACATTTGATGAAACTTTTAATATGTGCAACAATTACAAGGATTATCGTGAAAAATAATAAATATGAGATAGTGGATTACATTATTATATTTATGACTAGTTTTATATCAAGGAGGTAGTATATAGTTGCCCTTCAGCCATTTGCCAAAATGCCTCTTCAAGTCCAAATCCAATGTGGTCATATTTACATATTAGATTCATCAAAAAGTGGTATGATAGTGACATGTTGACCACATCAACGTGCTTATATCAACCACTTTCAACATTAAAACGCCTGCAGCTATATCTGGTCTCACATTATTGTTGCTTTTCCAACTCTGATGCAATGAAGTTTCAAAGGAAAAACTGCTTCATATTGCTTCTATTGTTCATCACTCTTGATCAAGCCTGTTCTCAAACCTCTGCTGCTGATTGCATCCTTGGAATTCAGTCTTCTACATCTTTGAATAATAGTAATAGCCCTGATTGTGAATTGCGCAGCTGGGGAGGTTTTATAAATAGCTGTTGTGATGGATTAGATTTCAATGCTTACCTTTATGCATCAGGGATGTCTGCCAACCAATCTGGAAAAATATACTTGAATTCCTCGGAGCAAGAAACTTGCCTTGCTTCAATGAATATTAAAGGATGTGGGGTGGAGAAGCTAAGGACTGGAGCTGGTGGTTGCTCCGACTTGTCTGTCATAGATGTTATGGACAAACTTGGAGAGAAGTTGAGAAGATTAGATGAAGATTGTATGGCTTTGAGCAAGGCAGAAAAAGAGACTTGTACGGCATGCTTAAGAAGGTGGGAAGAGATTAGTGCAATATCAATTGATAAAAAGGAGTCAGGCTCAGCAGATTTTGATGCTAATATTTGTAGATTTGCAGTACTAATCTCACTTACAAGCATCAGACTTTATGATAGGGACTTGATTCAAGCAGTTTGTGAATGCCTTGGAACCTACAGCCTTTCAGCAGGTGAGGGCTAGAAAAAAGTAAATTTCCCTTTTTTCAGTCAATTCAATCACACTTATTTGAATTCATGATTTTTATTTGATCTTGTGGAACTTGAAGTAATTCACTGACTGTTACAGGTAAGCAAATAGGCAAAACCGATGGCAGTTCTAAGCTCATCCCAGGTAGTTCTTTTCCAATTCTCTGTAAATCTTAGTCCTACATTATATTCTTGTTCTGAGGATAGGAATCGATTAAGGTTTTTCTTGTCCAATTTTAACTGTTTGAATCATAAATGGAACAGGTCTCTGGATATTACCTTTTGGCATAATTGGAATCGTAGTCCTAGGGTTTCTTGCAGTATGTATCTTGAATAGAAGAAGAAGAACTATTAGTTCTCCAACGAAACAAGAAGGTGACTCAGAAAAAGATCCTACACAATTTCCTTTCTGGTCCAGAAAATCTGTGTGTGTGTGTTTTTGTCTTACTTGAATGCATTTAATTATTTAGAGGCAGAGGATTCGAGCTCTCTTAAGATAACCATCAAGGAAGTTTATATGGCGACCAACAATCTTAATGCTTCAAATTATATTGGTCAAGGCATTGCTGGTAAGAATATCCCTCAGCTTCTTGAAAAATGTGTTTTCTGATATCTGTTCATAACAATTTAATGCCTCAAAACAACAAAAAACCAAAAAGAGATGACTGAGACAAAGGCTACAAGATAGCATATATAAACTCATATTACAGGCAATAGGACTTAGGGTTACATTAAACCTTGTTAGCATCTGCTACAGCCAAGATCCTATCTACACCATTTTCTGCTTGCAATAATGGCAGGTTTGTAGAAAATGAGAAACTATGCTGATATTATTGATTATCTCAATAATTGTGAAATGATCAAGGAAATCCAAATGAAATAAAGCAATTATATAAAACCTTCCAAATGAATTGAACTTGGTTGGAGTTATTACAGGAAAAGTGTACAAAGGTCTACTTTCCAACGGTCAGCATGTAGCCATCAAGCATATTATGGGTGAAGCGTACCTGGAGACATTTGTTAGAGAAGTGAGAAGCCTTTCTCATGTCAGACATCAGAACTTGGTATCTTTGGCCGGATACTGTGACAGCGAGGGTGAATGCTTCCTAGTGTATGAGCTATGCCACGAAGGAAACCTCTCAGATTGGCTGTTTGGTATCACTTGTTTTCTTAGTCATCCATGGAGATTCTTCTTCTAACCCTCTTTCCTTATTTACTACCTCTGGCCTTTAATATAAGAGCTAGTTGACTAACTTGAGTAGATTAAGAAAGTTTGTTAAGTTAGTTATTTGTAATAAATATATGTTATCTTCTCTAAAATACCTTTGCTAATTATGTGCATTAATTAGAACTATCATTTGATTGAACTTTTAACATATGCAACCACTACAATGACTACTTTGAAAAAAAAAAAAGGATAAATACGAGAGACAAAGTAAATTGGAATATTATATTTAGAATCAAATTAAATTTCAAGCTCGCTCTTATATTAAGGACTCAAGGTAGTATTTTTTTTGCCAGATTCTTCCAACCCTCTTCCCATGTAAATTCTCTAACACATTATCACTCTATGACAGACAAGGATAAAGTTCTTTCATGGATTCAGAGACTTAAGATTGCAGTTGATTGTGCAAGAGGTCTAATGTTTCTCCACACTTATCCAGGTGGCTGCATCATTCATCGTGACATTAAGGTGACAACACTGTACTATGCTTTGTCTCTGGCTCTCCATTAGTCTATTTATTCTCTGTCTTTGATCTCCTGTGACATGTCGTATTGTCAGCCATCAAACATTCTAATTGACACCAGCATGCAAGCAAAGCTTTCAGACTTTGGATTGTCCAAGGTAATGGAGCTCGACCAATCGTTTGTGAGCTCTGAGGTGAGAGGAACATTAGGTTACATTGATCCTGAATACCGGAAAAACCGCCATGTAAAAGCCTCCGGAGATGTCTACAGTTTTGGAATCGTATTGCTGCAACTTCTTTCAGGACAGAAGGTCATTGACTTCAATTTCCGGAGACCAATGTCCCTAGATAAAATGGTGAGAACCTAATGATCATGAGTAAAACACACACACACTATAAGTGGATAGGTTTTTAAGTAGGATTAAGATACATCCAACACCTTGATACATTTTTCCTGTGGCATTCGGCATTCAAAAATAATTTGTGATTTAATTTAACATTCTAAATATCTTTTTAGTAACACTCAGTATCTTAAAGTATTTTAGCAAAATTAAGGGGAATGACCTAGAATAAAAGTGTATATTGGAAGAGATGGTAAAAATCATAATTATTTAGAATGACCAAATATTAAAATATAAATCTAAAAATACTAAATTATCCCTGCCAAAACCTCCTAAGTTAACTCCTGCCTTTATAATTTAAAAAAAAAAACAAGAACTTTTTTTTTTCGATTGAGGGAAAAAAAAAACAAGAACTAAAACCAAACCACCCATCATTCCTATGGCTATGACCATACGTCTTCTTTGTTAATTTAAGCTTTTTCCCACCCAGACTATACTGATATTTTTATTTACAATATTTTTTTGGCTTACACGCAAGTGCTTTTAAAATTCTAACGGAGGTAATCCTATTTACCAATATCACATGAAAATATATAGATTATTTGGATTTTTTAAAATTTTATTAACAATATGTATTTTTGTTTTTAAAATTTACATAAACTTCTTCCAAAATTATACAACATTTATTTTCAATCTAAGTTTGTGTTGATTCTAAAAGTAAAATTCTAATGTACTCAAAAAAATTCTAATTTTATAAATGAATAATGTTTGTGTATTTTTGTATAATAAATATTTACGCAAGTTGTAAAATTTGAGAGAAATTCTATTTAATTTAGTCAAGTTTAGAAATTTTTAGTTGTTTTACAAACAGAATGTAGGAGGGAACGCGGGAGGGAACGTGGGAGGTATAGTTAGGGGCAATTTAGTATTTTTAAATTTATATGTTAATATTTGGTCTATTTAAATAATTGCAATTTTGATGATCCTTCCTAATAATATTATCTATTCTAGATTCTTGTTTGTAATTTTTTTTCCAAATATTTTTCAGTAGCAATCAGTATTTTTTTTTTGGCTTGAAGTGGCAATCAGTATCCTAAGTGTACAGTGCTCATTAGTCATTACTATTAAGAAAAATATTTTAAGGGCAAATTTGTACCATAACCATTAAATGGGCATCTCGAAATCCATGGGGATGTCGTATCCAACTGGCAGCAGAATTCCTGAAGGGAACTAGGAATTGAACCAAACAAGATAAGTATATAGCGGAAGAGGAAATAGAGAAGCAAATTTACCAGAAGCAGCAGTACCAGCAATAGTAGCTTGCATGTACCTATCCGGCAACTCCCCAGCAGACCCAACGATTCCACCTTGAACCAGAGCGCCACCTAAAGCCGAAAGCCCAACTGCGCCGACCGTCGCATAGAACCCATCATACAACCCGACCCGACCCGACCCTTAATGTACAATGCATCGATGATGGGAACCAGGAGCAAGGCCAGCGTAAGCAGGCCTAGACCAACGTTGATTCGCACATAGACACGGGATTTGTGAGTATAGAGGATGATGATGAAGAGGGACACAAGAAGGACAAGCATCTTAAAGACGGCGAAGATGCGGTCAACGCTGGCTTCAGGGTAGAGGAAGGAGAAGTAATCGACGGCGGTGATGAAGGCGTTCCATGGAAGAAGGTAGCCGAAGCCGAGGGTGAAGTAGATGATGTAGGCTAAATGCCACTTGTCTTCAGGGATCTCGTTAGCGGGGGTTTCGCGACTGTTGAGGAGACGAGAGGTATCAGAATCGGGCTCAGACCCGGAGAGACCCATCGGAAAACCTTGTATCCGGGTCGGAACGTAAGGATTTACAGGTTTTCCGAGGGATCCGATAGTAATACGGATAAATATGAACTGATTAAGGCCTTTCGTGTTCTGAAATTCTGCAAAGGCTGAAAGCAATGGCGTTCGGGCCACCGATCCGAACACCAAATATTGAAACTAGGCGCGGGAAGCTTCTTACCGGTATTTCAAACATTGTTCCGTAACTAAGTTTTTTACCCGAGAATATTAAAACAGAGAAATATTATTGTCGCGGACAAGTAACGTTAGTGTTTTTTTTTTTTTTTGGCTTTTTTAGTGCAAGGAGAGATTTTATTAATGAAGATAAAAAATTCACAAGGGGAACACTAACTTCAGTTTTTTAATGAGTTGGGATAATATTACAAAAAAATAATAAATTTAAAGTGAGAAATATGAAATCACGTAGTGAAATTATCAGCCTCTATATTTTCTTCTCCACTCCTATTTATTTTTTTATTTTTTGCAAGGTATATGAGGTATATCTCACGGACGTCAGAGACAAATCTCTTCCGGGACATTGTGACTCTCTGATTTTTTTTTAAATCTGAATAACTATAGAAAAAAAAAAAGAATTTGAGCCATTAAAGTTTGGTTTTAATGTCTTACACGTTACAACCGGAAAATAAATAAATAATACTACCTCCTGTTTTTAATATAAGATCTTATTTGATTTTTATTTTAATCCTAATATAAGATCTCAATCCACTTTGTCTTTTATATTTATGTATTTTTTTTCTAAAGCAATTCTCCTAACAATGATAGTTATAACCAATACACTTTATTAGTAAGGATATTTTAGGAAAGATAATACATATTTATTACAAATAACTAACTTAACTTCTTTCTTTAATTTTCTCAAATTAGTCAACTAGCTCTTATAATTAGGATGAGAGATAATATTTTGTATTATTTCTTAAATATAAGATATTCTATCTCATGATGCGTTATTGTATTGGAAAATTAGTCAGTTGCTTCAATTTTTCCTTTGAGCCTTAGCCATTTCCTTCAAATCAAGGAAAGATTCACATGGTTCATGTGGAATTAAAATACATTTAAATCCCTAATGGTTTGGTAGAGATGGAGAATAAATTATTTTCATCGAGATATCTTTAATTATTTTAATCTCCAAAAAGATTATTTGATAGAGATATCTGTAATCCCTAATTATTTTAATAGGAAATCAAGATTCACGTGGTGATGGAGAATTTAAATATCTCTGGCCATTTTCATAGGTTATATTCTTTTATGAGCAGATTCATTAAAAAATTTTATATTAGAAGGTAGATTAAAATTACAAGAATGGATACTAACAATCTCTTTATGGCTTTAAAAATATTGACTATTGAATGAAATTATCTGTTGAAGACATATTTGAATCCCAGTACAATTTAATTCGATGCAAACACTCTCTCTGTTGACCAAAAAACATTCTTTCTAAATTCTAAATTATTCTAGATTTATTTAGGTTTTTAATCAAAACTTGAAAATATATAAATTGTGTTGAATGCATAATTTGTTCATAAGTTGCGCGCTTAAAATATTATCAATAAAAATTACACGTTTTTTTTTTGTTTTAATCACAGTGCAAGAATGAAAGTGTTAAAACTTAAAAGATACACATAATTCAAATTTAAATAGATGAGTCTTTTTTTTTCCTCAGCTAAAATCTAAAGGTGTATTTGGATTGGCGGTTTATTCTAACTGACTTTTGTAAATTGAAGTTAGAGTAAAAATCAGCTAATATAATACGATTTATGTTTGAATTGGTGCTTATAAAAAGTCAATTAGAAAAGTTAAAACTTATTTGAATGATTAACAGAAAAATGAGTTTAGTTGTAAAATGATCAAAAAGAGGTATGAACTTTATTGAATAACAGTATTTAATATTATAGTTAGAAAAAAACTAAAAGTATTATGATAAAATAAAAGTATTTTATTTATAAAATTATAAAATAAAAATATTTTTTATTGAGAAAAATTTGAAAAAACATTGTAGATAATTAATTAAATATATATAATGGACAAACATGAATATAAATTAAAATTAATTTAGTTTCTAAATAAAGTAAATAAAATCACATAACTAATTAAATCATAAACTTTGCACAATTTGGTCTCTAATTGAGTCATGAACACGATTCATTTGTACAGCAAATGTTAAACTTGACGAGAATGTCTCACCAGCTATATAATTATTGTCTTCATCTATTACACTTCCATGTTCAGCTTGTACAAAGTGGTCATCAATTGAAGAATTTTGCCTGATAAAATTATGCATAGTCATTGTTGTACAAACTATACAAACTTGTGTTTGAAACTTGAATTTGGGTATATCTCTTAAGATTGCAAGACCTTCAAACAGCCCCCTTACTTGTGAGTTGAAGTTGCAACAGTAAATCAAGTGAAGCAAAAGTCAAATCGAGCAGAGAATGGCCAGTTCTACGTGAAGCACAACCAGGTCGATGAACTTCGATGAAGGACAATAGGTCCGACAAGTATCCAGCACATGCAACGGTGAAGAATGATTATGCAAGCTCGGGTGGACAACCGGCGAAACCAGTTCACTGAGGATGAAGATCTAGGAGAAGACCATACTGATCTGTAGCACAGGTTTTCTGAGGGATCCGATAGTAATACGGATAAATAAGAACTGATTATTTCTTGTTCTGAAATTCTACAAAGGCTGAAAGCAATGGCGTTTGGACTCCCGATCCGAACACCAAATATTCAAACTACGCGCGGGAAGCCTCTCACCAGCATTTCAAACAGTGTTCCGTAACTAAGTTTTTTATGTGAAAATATTAAAACAGAGAACTTACAAGCCATGCCCGCAAATGAGAAAACTCATTCCAATGAAGGGGGGGGGGACTGATTTGATAAATTTGAACATAGAATCTGTGGGGTTTTTTTTTTTTTACCTCTCAAGGTTGTGGGGAAGTCTTTTGCGGAAGTACATGTCTTGTGTAGTTCCTTCCCAATGAGTTTCTCCCAAGTTCCAATAAGCTGTCCTTGGGAAAGAATATTCTTTGACGGCCCTAAGTACAATGTCCCCCACCCCCCAACAGTTTGAGGGTCGTCTATTGCCTTTATGGTATTCTTATGGTTTTATTCATAAATTGTTTTCAATATATTTTATATAGATTAAGAAAAATTTTAAATTTTATTAATTCTTATTTAAAATTTAACAAGCTTTTAACTTTATTCTTATCTAATATACATTATACATCGTTTAAACAAAGTCCATATAATAATAAATAAAAGGTAAAATTATACATTTATATAAAAAATTTCTCTTGATACCCTATAAATAGGACCAAAAATGTCTTTTTTGTTTGTTCTATGGATAGAACGAGAGGAGTATGTTACAACATCATCCTCATCCATAAACAAACAAAAAAAAAACATGCATGTGTTGAAACTCCATGGTGAATCTACGTAACATTGTAATGTCACAATTATTGAAACTTCATGATAGTTTTACGTAATACTCTGTCCGTCTCTTTTTATAAGAAATAACTATCATTTCTCTTTTGTTCCTAAATAAAGCAGCATTTGCAAGTTGTATTAAACTTTCATGCCAAATTTCTTATTTTGCACCTATTAATTGTTTATTTTAATAATTAATATATTTATTATTTTATTTTTCAAACTGTTATCTCTCTTCATTATATATTTTCTCCTCTTCATAAATTTTCTATGTTATAATAATTTTTTTATTCTGTTTTTTATACGCTTTCTCCTCCATATATAAAGGTATTTTGAGGAAATGACTTTCAATTTCTACTTCTGTTTTTTTTTTGATACACAGGAAAGAAAAGACACAGAGCTAAAACACCAAACTAAAACAAAGGGAACCAGTCTCCTGTATCGCCAAGAAGGATTTGTTCCAGAGCCACTGGAACAAAGAGTTGCAGGCCACACGCATCTGATAACCCGCGTGTTGCAAGCATATCCGCCCTTCTGATATTGTCCCTTTCAATATAGAGAAAAGAGACCTTCCAATCACGCTGCAGCACATCCTTAATTTCACTGATCAAAGAGAATTCCTCATGGAGCTCAGGGACACTGTTCTGACATAATGACAGCATCTCGAGCCACATTTGAGCAAGATGTTCCTGAACCCTCCATCCCAGGCTCTCTTGAGATCCACAAGGCATCCCCATATCTCCGAAGTGAGAGCGTCTCCTGCAAGGAGCCTGAACTGGAATCCTTCCATAACAGTACCAATACTGTATCTTTAACTAACTGTTTAATCTGTATGTGAAGTTAAAGTTTTTTATAATTCTTCTTGTACAAAATTACTTAAATAATTTACTCGAGATAAAAATATACACATGCAGGAATTTGCATTCCCGTCTCTTCCAACTGATGTCAAATACTCCATCGAATTATCTCCCTTCATATATTCTATGCAATCTGACTAAATTACTTCTCTTGTTCTTATTATAAAAATATATGATAAGTTGTTGTGGAAATCACATGAGTGTGTGTCAAATAAAGTCCCACGTTAGAAAGATGAGAAGAAGACCAAGTGTATATAAGAGATCAAATATCCTTGGGGAGGTAAATGGGCCAAGGGGAAAGTGGGCCTTGCGCACACACAAACAGGCCATCAGAAGGGAAACGCAGTTGAAAACTGACGATTCTTCCTGTGCGTGAATTAGATGTGGTAATGTCTCATTTTGCAAAAATTAGTTTAAATAAATTATGTGCTTACCAGAAAAGTCTTATTTTTGGACTTATCAAAATTAAAGTGTTGCCGTCTAGTTTTTGTGGCCGACCGGACCCGTCTTATGGGGTGTAGCCGACCATTGTGTGCGCCAACGTTCGTGTTGTTCTGTCTCCAGCTGAACCTTTGACGAAACAGAGGGATGCATCTTCCGGTGATGTGGCCATTCGCATCTATATAAGGGATGGTTCAGAAAGCGTGAGAGCAATCTGTGCTCGTCTTCTTCCTCTCCTCTGTTCCCTGTGTTACAAACTCTTTCGCTATTTTGCCGCCTTGCTTTGCAGGAAAGGTTCGTCTGATCCTAGGGAGTGCCGCTTCCTGTTATGCCAAGGGGTTGCGGAATGTCTCTCAAGGACAGTGTCCTTGCGACGCAACTCGAACCGGATTTTGCTATTCCTCCTTTGCTACCGCCAACATAAGTATGATTAAAAATATGTATTTTAGGAGATTACGAGAACACAACTATTTATAATTGATCATGTTATAAATAGTCATAGTATGCGTAGGTTATTAAGCAGGAAAGGGGCAAGTGCATCCAGCTTTATATGCATTCTTTCTTATGATAATGCAAAGATATTGGGTGAGATTTCAAAGTTAACCCAAAGATTAAATACCCGATCATCAATGAGTTTAATTCCGCATTAATCATTTCCTTTCCTATCAATAAGTCTTGAGCCATTTTCTGATGGTGCATTTTTATGCGGTAGCGGCCCTGTTCGGGGAAATTAAATTTTATTTTATCAATCTCATTTTTCTTACAATTATCTATATAAGATTTTTTTATTCAAGAAATTAAAGAGCATCGTTCATTATTTCTTTTCTTTCTTTTTTTTCCCTTTTGGTTACGAAACTCCTTCAATATTAAATTCAATTTCCATTTCCATCAGTTGAAATAGAGTTAATGTTTGGTATCTATGAATATATAAAAGTATAGTATAAAGCAGGACTTCAAGAAAAACTGCCAAGTGGCCTCACCAAGATGCAGATAAATGTCTTATTTTTATTTTTTTGTAAAAACAAAAATTTTATGAACACCTCTCCTATCTATGCGTTCCTTATCTCATTATTTTAGTTAAGTTCTTTTTTTACATTTTAGAATTAGAAGTTATCTTGAAAAATATTTTAAATTTAAAATTAATGATAGTTGTCTATTCCAAAGATATTTATTATTTGTTTGCATTTGAATTGTATGAAATAACTTCCTTGATTCCGTAAATTATGGCATGTATAATAGCCGTGATATATTTTTAAAATTTGAAATTTACGTTAATCTTGTAGTGTTAATAATTATTTTAAAAATAGAGTATAAAGCAGGATTTACTGAGAGATTGCCAAGTGGTTTCACCAGATAAATATGTCTTTTTTTTTTTTGTAGAAACAAAATTTTTATGAACACCTCTCCAATCTATGCGTTTCTTATCCCATCGTGACAAAATTTTGTAGTTATCTCTCTTAATAAATGTAGCAGTTATATGACATTATTTATTTAAGTTCTTTATTTACATTTTAGAAGTACAAGTTACCTTGAAAAAATATTTTAAATTTAAAGTTAATGATAGTTGTCTTTTCCAAAGATACTTATTATTTGTTTTCATTTGAATTTCATGAAATAACTTCTTTGATTCTAGAAATTATGGCATGTATAATAGCTGTGATATATTTTTAAAATTTGAAAGTTACATTAATCTTGTAGTGTTAATAATTATTTTAAATTTTAAATTAAGTAATATACCAAATAAATATAACTTTCCAATCCTATTAACCAATTATCTTTTTATTTATACAGTTTCAACAATTTAAAAAGATATTTAATTTGTCTCTCATGCCTTCTTATTTTTATTTATTGGTTGCTTATTCAATAATTTTAAATAGAAAAATAAATGTGGGCATTTTTTTAGTAGATAAGAAATGGCCCATTTTATAATTTCTTAGTTAATATAATGGTTTTGGATTTCAGATTTTAACACTAAACTATATATGATGACTTTCCCAAGATGCTGTATGGTCATTTGATATGATAAAACTTATCTCCCCCCCCCCCTCTTATTGGTCAATGTTTATCTGGGTGGATCTGAGGATTAAGGAGCCAAAAAAACTCTGCAGTTAGAAACTAAAGTTTTCTCAAAACGTTCACAATGAAGGTTGAACCTTGAATCCTTAATAGGTCCTCAAGCTAAAAGATTTTATTCCTTATATTTGCTTTAAAGGCAGATTTTCAGAACAAGTAATTGATCAAGTGGCTGCTAATATTTATCATATGTAATTATTGACTAAGAAATAAGCCTATGTAAATATTAAATCAAATATATTAGTTTCAACTCAATTTCTCTTCATTAATTTTTTGTATATCATGTAGCAATATTGCTTTTGTCCTATTTAGTTATTAACTATGAAATTATCCTATGTAATTATTGAATCAAATATGTAAATTTCAAGTAACTATATAATACAGAAGTTAAAGCCATTGCTTCCTCTACATATCCTCTTTAGATATATAACATAACTATACTAAATTTGTTGATGTTTAGTATGCACTAATTTTGGCTTGACTAAATTTTCAAAAAAGACTACTCTACCAAATAATGGATTTCATTTAAGCAATTGGTATAACGCCAAACAATAAAATGTTAATAATGAAGCTGTATATATTGCATGCTTTGAAATCATATGAATATTCAATTCTTAAAATTAAGCTGAAATTATGATTTAAAATAGAGTATTATCTTTAATTAATTATTTTGTGGTAATTAGGGAAAGAAACAGCTAGGCCACGCCAGGCCATTGTCTTAACAGGCTTAGCCTGATTTGTAACAAATAGACCTGAGCCTGGCCTGTAGCCTGTTAAAGGCTTCTAATTTAGCCTAAGCCTGACCTATATAAAGGCCTAGTTTGGCCTAAAACCTATTAATAGGCCTGTATCTTTTAAAAATCTATAAACAAGCTAACAGGCCTAACAAAACACAGGCTTAGGCCTTTAAACAGGCTGAGAATAGGCCTTAACAGAATACAAGCCTCTGCCTTTAAACAGGCTGAAACAGGCCACTAGTGATCTAAAACAGAGCTGCCAAACAGGAAAAAAGAAAAGAGAACATACAACTAAATAAACTCAAATAAAATCACAATCCACAAGTACTTAAAATACAAGTTGAGATACTGTTATTAATCAACATTCAACAAGAACATACCAAATACAACAACATTACAACAAAACAAGTTTAAGAAGAATAGCCACCAGTCGCAAATCATCAAATTTTTAGCATAATTTCTTCATCTTGTTCGAGCACCTTGAAAAAAAACAAATCAAATATATAATATTAGATAATATCATAATTTAAGAAGTAAGAAGAATAAGAAATGATATAACTTTTACGATACAAAATTTATACCTTTGGTTTTTTCCTCAAGCCATACTTATTGCGAAGCCAATCCTCACCACAAATAAGTACTTCAATTGATTCTTCATTCAATTTGGAACGATATTCATCGATAACTCTACCTCCAGCACTAAATGTAGACTCTAATGCCACGGTTGAGATTGGAATAGCTAATATGTCAGCAGCCATCTTAGATAAAATCTTATACTTCATACTATTATTTTTCCACCATTCCAAGGCACCGAAAAAGTTAGAATTACCATCAAGAATGTAAACACCATCCTCAAGATAAGCTTCCAATTCTGATTTCATTGGGAGGACTGCTTGCTTTTCACGAACAATGCTCATGATTTGATCAAATCCAGTAACTATAGAAGAACCAGGTGCATTGGCAGAAGAGTTGTTACCAGCATTATCAACTTCATTATTACCCATTGTGTCTCCTTTATACATGCTTACATACTCATCATACATTGATTTCAAAGCACTCACCACTTTATCTATATTCTTAGAAGCCACATGATTAGGCTTCTAAATCAAAGGAAAGCAATAATTAACAACATATAATTTGCACCTGGGATCCAAAACACTCGCAATGGCCATGAACATATTACATTCTCCCCAATATTTGTCAAACTTTTCTTTTATTGAAGCTGCCATTTTTCTTATGAAGAAATCACCATCTTCTGTGGCATTGTCAATTACTTGTTTCACTCTCCAAACTTCAGAAAGGTACAAATTTGCAGTAGGATACTCACTACCTGAGATGACATGGGTGGCTAGATTGAATACTTCTAAAAGTTTACAAATCTTCTCAACCTTATTCCAATCCTCTTCTAATGGTGCATAGTTGTAATGTGGCTCTCTTTCCTTATAATCAGGAAAGATAACCTTAAACTTCAAAGCAATAGATAGCATCCTATATGTTGAATTCTACCTTGTCGGACAATCAAGAATAAGCTTTCTTTCCTTCAAACGTTTCTGCTCAACAATATCACAAAATGCTTTCAGCCTTGAATCATTATAATTGATATATTTCACACTCTCTCGAACATTATGTATAATGTCCCTAATTCTTCCAAGGCCATCTTGCACCATTAAGTTCAATATGTGTGCACAACATCTAACATGAAACAAATCACCACCTAGAGGTAATGAACTACTAAGTGATAAAGTGTCTTTAAGAGCTCTTAAACAAGAATCATTGTAAGAAGCATTGTCAATTGACACAGAAAACACTTTGTTTTCAATACCCCAAGCCTTCAAACACTTGAAAATAGCATCTGCCACATCAATCCCTTGTCTAGGAGCAGCAACTTTCACAAAACTCAAAACTCACTTTTGAAGATTCCAACCCTAATCAATGAAATGCCCGGTGATAACTATGTATTCAGCTACTTGGTGAGCTGATTTCCATATATCAGTAGTCAAACTAATCTTGTTCACACCTTCCAATAAGGCCTTCAATTGTTTCTTCTCTGCCTCATATATGACACAACAATCATTTCTTACTGTCTTGCGAGATACTTTCTGAAATTCAGAATTTGCATATTGGAAGCCCTACATCCAAACTTCATCCTCAACAATATTTAAAGGATGTTCATGCACCATAATTGCAGGAGTTATTATTTCCCTCATCTTTTCATTAGAATATCTAGCACCCGGTGTTAAAAATGGATTAATATTCAAATTGGAAGGTTGAAATGGAATAGAAGGTTGCTTGTTTTGTGAAGAAACTAGCAATTTCCTTTGCAAACAAGCTTGGACATGTCTCCGAAGATGGCTAGTGCTAGCTCCCTTCCCTGAATAAGCAAGTAGTTGTTTGCAATACTTGCATTTTGCTTTGACCCCCTTATCGGTTTCAACTTGATCAAACTCTTCTCAAATGGTAGAAGTTTTTCGCCTCTTTTTTTGAATAGTACAATCATTACCATCATTTTCTTCATTAGTTTGTTGACTAGAATCTGTTGGTGCTTGTTGACTAGCTAATGGCATAATAGCATTTAAAGGAATTGAATTAGATGACATTGTTTTACTCTCAAATGGAGATGACACTAACTACAAATGAATCAGAAAGCATATATTAACATTCTATTCTTAATGCAAAATATCAGTAACATAAATTGGAAGAAAAAAACAATCATGTACCAGCAGCAGTCAGCATCGTGTGGACTCTAAAAGCACCAACTGAGAAAAATTTAACCCCCTATCATTTCCTAATTAATCCTATAATTACATATATATAGATTCTTCATTCTTGAATACCAAAAAAATTAACCCCTTAACATTTTCTAAGTAATCCATGCTGCAGCAGAAAAAATTTAACCCCTTAAGATTTTCTAAGTAATCCATGAGACAGACTGAATAATGCAAAGAAGATGCAGTTTGAATCTAACTGACCTTTGCTCGAGCTGGAGTGGTGGAATACTTTCAGGAATCAGAGTCTCGGAGAACAGGGTGCTATGACATAGGAGCCACTTCCATTCAACAGACCAGCACATTGCCACGCTCCTCTCCACACCGGTGGTAGAAAACTTCCAGGAATCGGAGTCTCAGAAAGATATGGTTGAAGAGGTAGAGAATCTCACTTCTCAGATTCGTCTCCACTCTCCAGAAAGAAGCTGTGCCTTTTCGTCAAGATCCGTTGCACCCTTTTGTCAAGATCTTCACGCTGATGCTGAGCAACTGAGTGACACTAACGAGCACGAGCACAAATCGTGGAGCACGAGCACGACCCACAAGCAGAGCACACGCAGATGACAGTCGGGAGTCAAAAACTGAGATTGAGGTAGGAGAAGGAGACCAGAGAGAAGGAGACTGAGAGGCTGAGAGTCGAAAACTGAGACAAGTGAGGCTGAGAGCGGCAGACGCAGTTGAAAACTGAGATAGGTGAGGGTGGAGAGCGGTGGACGGCAGTCGAAAACTCAGGTGAAACTTGAAATCAAAAAAATCAAATGAAGACCGAAAGGGGAAAACGAAACATAAGAGAGCTACGTTTTCGGAGTAAATAATTTTGTTGTCAATTTATCTAAGTGGGTTTAAAATTTATATCATGCAAAAGATGTAATAACAAAATGCAGTGGTGAAGTGGTTGCCTTCTCACTCATGATAATCCACATAATATTTAAAAAAACATAATAGGGCCAGGCTGCCTGATAGACTTTATAGGCTTCTCATAGAGCCTGAGCTTGGCTTATTAGACGAAATAGGCTTTCAAAAAAACCTGAGCCTATATTTTTTTTTATAAAAACAGGCCTGGCCTGATCAAACCTAAAACAGGTCTGGCCTGATCAACCTAAAACAGGCCAGGCTACAGATCCTGATAGGCCGTCTTACCTATTCCCACCTTTAGTGGTAATTTAACTTTCCATATGATATAAAGGATTACAAATTCAATGCACGGCAATAAACTAGTTTGAAAACAAAACAACGCAACAAAACTCGAAGAAACCTAAAAGAAAAAAATACCTAGGAGCAACAGTTCAAGTTTGAACTGCTCTCCATCATGCGGCTAAATCACTTTCGTCCCAGGAATGTCCTTTCTTTCTCCTTCTGCCCGGTTTTGGCAAACCAAACGGCTTCTTACTATGGCGGAAAAAGAGCAGGTCTGAAAAATCAGAGAGGTCCCAGGTCGGACCCGGTGTTCTTCGGACGCCATCTTTTGTCCGAGAGAAACAGGTGAAAACAGGGTGGTTTCATCCCGTCCCTCCACGTGGTGCTCAGCCTCCTTGCCGC